GTTTTCAACATTCATTTCTACAAGATTGAGTTCCAAATTTTCTCCCCATCTCTTCCCTCCCCCCACCCCAAGACAGCGTGCATTCTGAATACCCTTTCCCCTAATCTATCCTCTCTTCTACCCCCCCACCTTCTCTTATTCCCTTCCTCTTCTATTTTCCTGTAGGGCAGGATAGATTTCTATGCCTCATTGCCTGTATTTCTTATTTCCCAGTTGCATGTGAAAACAATTTTTTAACATTTGTTTTTAAAACTTTGGGTTCCAAATTTTCTCCCTTCCTCCCTCCCCACCCATCCTCATTGAGAAGGCAAGCAACTCAATACAGGTTATACTTGTATAGTCATGCAAAACACTTCCGTAGTAGTTATGCTGTGGAAAACTAACTATATTTCCCTTCATCCTATCCTGCCCGCTATTTATTCTATTCTCTCTTTTGACCCTGTCCCTCCTCAGAAATGTTTGCTTCTGATTACCCCCTCCCCCAATCTGCCCTCCTCTCTATCATCCCCCCAGCACTCTTATCCCCTTACCCCGCTATTTTCCTGTAGGGTAAGATAGTTTTCCATACCCAATTGAGTGTGTATGTTATTCCCTCCTTAAGCCAAATCCAGTGAGAATAAGATTCACTCATTCCCTCTCCTCTTCCCCCACTTCCCCTCCACTGTAAAAGCCTTTTCTTATCTGTTTTATGTGAGATATTTTACCCCATTCTACCCCTCCCTTTCTCCTTCTCTCTGTATAATCCTTTCTCACCTCTTAATTTTATTCTCCAGATACCACTCCTTCATCTTCAACTCACCCTGTGCCCTCTATCTATCAATCTATCTATAAATATAATTTCCCCCCTCCAACTACCCTAATACTGACAAAGGTCTCATGAGTTACAAATATCATCTTTTCATGTAGGAATGTAAGCAGTTCAAACTTAATAAGTCTCTTATGATTTCTCTTTCCTGTTTACCTCGTCATGCTTCTCTTGAGTCTTGTATTTGAAAGTTGAATTTTCTATTCAGCTCTGGTCTTTCCATCAAGTCTTATTCACTGAATATCCATTTTTCCCCCTGAAGGATTATACTCAGATTTGCTGGGCAGGTGATTGTTGGCTGTAATTGTATCTCCTTTGCCCTCCAGAATATCATATTCCAAGCCCTCCAGTCCCCCAGTGTAGAAGCTGCTAAATCCTGTGTTATCCTGATTGTGTTTCCACAATACTTGAATTGCTTCTTTCTGGCTGCTTGCAATATTTTCTCCTTGACCTGGGAACTCTGGAATTTGGCTATAATATTCCTAGGAGTTTTACTTTGGGGATATCTTTCAGGAGGTGATCAGTGGATTCTTTCAATTTCTATTCTACCCTCTGGTTCTAGAATATCAGGGCTATTTTCCTTGATAATTTCTTGAAAGATGATATTCAGGTTCTTTTTTTGATCATGGCTTTCAGATAGTCCAATGATTTTTAAAATTATCTCTCCTGGATCTATTTTCCAGGTTAGTTGTTTTTCTAATGAGATATGTCACATTGTCTATTTTTTCATTCTTTTGGTTTTCTTTTACAATGTCTTGATTTCTCATGAAGACACTAGTTTCCAATTGCTCCATTCTAATTTTTAAGGAAGTATTTTCTTTAGTGAGATTTTGGACTTCCTTTTCCATTTGGCCAATTCTACATTCCAAAGCATTCTTCTCCTCATTGGCTTCCTGGACCTCTTTTGCCATTTGGATTAGGCTATTTTTTAAGGTGTTATTTTCTTCAGAATTTTTTTGGGTCTCCTTTAGCAAGGTGTTGACTAGTTTTTCACGATTTTCTTGCATCACTCTCATTTCTCTTCCTAGTTTTTCCTCTACTCTTACGGGCTTCTCAAAATCCTTTTTGAGCTCTTCTGTGGCCTGGGCCTGATTCATATTTTTCTTGGAGGCTTTGGATGTAGAAGCTTTGACTTTGTTGTCTTCTTCTGGTAGTACATTTTGAACTTCTTTGTTACCAAAGAAAGATTCTGTGGTCTGACTTTTTTTTTTAGTGTAGTTTGCTCATGATCCCAGCCAATTACTTGAGTTTTAAATGCTTTGTTAAGGTAGGGGTCTGCTTCCAGTGTGGAGAATGTACTGTCCCAAGCTTTGGAGGTTTTGTACAGCTGTTTTACTTCTAGGGACCTGTAGGTTTTCAGTTCTTCCAAGGTGGTATGATCAAGGGCAAGGTGTTTACTCCTTTCCTGGCCTGTGCTCTGGTCTATGAGTGACCACAAGCCCTGTTTTCTGTCTTGAAACTGTGGCGAGGATTCCTTCTCCACCAAGGCACAAGTTCCACCAAGGCAGCGCTCCTCCTCACCCCAGGATTGCCACCAAGAACTGTGACCCAGATCCAAGCACAGGCAAAGTAAGAGAATCCTGGCTCAGCACCAGCAAAGAGATGCCTATAATCCCCCTCTGATCAGCCACTCAATTCCCCCTCAGTCTGTGGGCCAGAAGCTCTGGAAGAAGCTGCCTCCCCAGGCTGCAGCCGGGAATGGGGGCTGGGACTGAGCTTCTCTTTCACCATGGTCACAGATTTTTCCTACTGACCTTCTAAGTTGTCTTTGGTGTTTGTGGGTTGAGAAGTCTGGAAACCGCCACAGATGCTGGTGATTCAGTCCTCTGAGGCCTGCTCCAGGTTCGCTGAGGCCTGTTTTGCCTGTGCATCCATGCTGAACTGTTCTTCTTTCCCAGCCTAGCACAACAGACCTTTCTAATCAACCATCCATTGTCTTGGGCTGGAAATTTGCTGCACTCTGTCTTGTTGTGGGTTCTGCTGCTCTAGAATCTGTTTAGAGCCATTTTTTACAGGTATTTGGAGGGGTCTGGGCCCAGTCACTCTTTAGTGACCCATCAGTTGCCTTTAATCAATGGCCAAAGACATGTAGTCTCATCAGTCTAAGTGAACTCTTCTATTTGATCAGGGACTCCCCTAATCTCCTTCCTTGCATTAAAGTCATATATATATATATATATATATACACATACACATATGCTAGTCATTATTCTTGTAAATTCTTATTTATTATTGCCATTTGGTAAGTCCTGTTGATTCTTTCACAATATTTCTCACATTGATTCCCCTTTCTCTACATATTTCCATCATCCTAAAATAGGTCCCTTCATGATCTTTCTTGCATTCATTGCCTTTCTATGCATATTTCCATCATGATGGTTGAGGTCCTTAATACTTCTTGCCTAGACTATTGTAATAGCTTCTTAACTTGTCTCCCCACCTTTATTATCTCCCCTCTCCAATCCATCCTTTACACAATCTTCTTAAATCACCACTCTGATCCCCTATCATTTTGATTCCCTCCTCAACTTTCTCTGGCTTGCCTTTGTCCTTTCTAAAATGTGACATCCTTGGCTGAATACACCTCAGATATGATTTGATCAAGGCAAATTCTGGAGCAGTTCGCTTACTTAAACTTGGGGTAGGCTGTTGAAATCTCAATATCATAATTCAAATGTATACAACATGCTAATGTTTGTCATCAAAAAGGCTGGGCTGACTACAGAGTTCTGAAACCACTTCTTTAGTGACAAATTTTACACATACAGCAAATATTAATTGTTCTGGGACCAGTCAATTATGAAGTAAGCAGAGTTTGTCTGGGATATTCCTAATTTCCCCACTTTTGTATACTATTTTCACTTAGATTTGGTTAATTGCTTTAGTCAACTGAATTCTTTTGGATCGAGATTCCATAATATGGATGAGGAGTTCTCTCCATCAGGAGGAAAAGATTTGATAGAGCTTTAACACCTTAGTGTTTGAATACAATTTGCATTGATATATTTATGACCAGTATATTTACGACCAGTATATTTACAAGTATGATACTGGTACAAGAATATCGGCCTACCTGCATTTTCTAGGAGTTTCCAGTCAGAAGGGACTCCCACCAACTCCTCAAAAAATAGACCCCAGAAAGAGAAACTCAAAGAAAAAACTTTCTAAGTTGCCAGAATTTCAGATCATCTGGGTGGAAAAGATATTTGAAAGCATTGGTTCCTTTCCAGTACCCCTCAACATATGTCTAATATGTGACTGAATAATGTCTGTGGAGCTTTCCACATGTAATTAGTAAATTTTGCTCTCATTATAGAAAAATTATAGGTTCAAACTGATTCACTACTTGAATTATTATTTTTTTTAATAAAGCTTTTGTTTAACTTTGAGTTAGTGAAATAATGAATGGTTGGGTTTATGTTCAGGGTTTAACAAATTAGTACAGTTTATTCCCATCTTTTATTTTGGCTCAGGTCAAATCTGTGCTCCTGAAATATTAAAGGATACTGAATTCATATACACAATATCAAACAGCCATGCCATAGACTTTAATTTAGAAAGGCCAAATCATCCACAGCATCCTGGGCCATTCTAAGTTGTCTTGACTTTTGTTTCGTCATTGGACTTCAATGACTTTGGAGGAGTAAGGCTGACAACTTTTTGCAACTCTGCTTCTCTTAAATCCAATTCACTTGGAAGTCAAGATAATACCTTGACTATATGGCTCTTGGAGAATGAAGGACAAAAACCTAACAAATTTTTTTCTAAGGAGATTAACTCAAGGCAAATAGCAGAATACCATTTTAATGGTGCTTTTGATTATTTCCTGGAGTAGAATTAAAATGTTGATGTTAAAATTACAGTCTTTTGTAGTCTACTGAATAATTTCCTACATCGATTTTTCCCCTACCCTTTTTCCCATTTTTTTTTAAAATTTTTGATTTCCCAGTACCATTTTTAAGTGAAATATCAAGTTTGCATCACTGGGCCAAATGAAAAGCACCATGGACCTCTCCAGATTCAAAATACTTAAGTATAGAAGAGAAATAAAATATATGAAATGACACAGAGCTTGAAGGGTAACTAAGATGCCATTATTGTGTTGTTTAACATCCTTGTTTTTCACATAGACTTTGACAGTTTATAAGAATGTTAAGGGTGTTTGTAATGCAAAAAAAATGTCACTGACAATAAATTTCTGAAAAAGAAAAGCTTTATTTTTGACTGAAACTAGAGGCCTCACTGAGGTACAGAGAAGAAACATTCTTTGATTATATGGCTAAGTTCACATGTGGAAATGCAACTAAAGCCTTCTCTAAGCTATCTCATGTTCTATGTATGGGCCAGTGATATTGTTTAGTAAAATTGAAGATATCATACTTTCGGTTTTCCTTTAGAGTGGTGATGACTAATAATTGTGAAACTTCTCCACTGAGATGCAGGTGTGAAAACATCATCCTACAGCTGTCACTATCAAACTGGGTTTCAGTTAAGCAAATAATTTTTAGGTGAATGCTGTTAAAACTATATAACAACCCTGAGTCACATTTCTCCCCCTGTCCCAAGTGTGCCCGAGATTTTAGTATTTTATTTAACTAATAAAATACTTATCATCTTCTAATTGTTTTCATTGTATGATTTCTCTGACTAAACTCCTTGCTATACCTTAAGTAGATCAATGTAAGCTATCAATATTTTCCAACATGAGCACTGGGTCCTTGTCCCTGGTAGGCAAGAATTAACATGCTATGGAAGGAGAAGCCAGGAAATGGATTGCAAACTCCCATTTAAATTTTTGGTTCTGATCTAATAATCTTGTAACAAAGAACAACTGGTATGAAATAGGTATCAACAGAACACAGGACACACTGTCTTAATTGTAGAATTAAGAGTAAAATCATTTAAAGTGATTGAACTTGAGACAGAACAATGGTATCAGGTAAAACAGTTCATACAAATGAAAAAGTAGTTAATGCAATGACAGTTTTCAAGCCAATGCAGGTGATACAAAAAGGAGTTTGAAGGACAAATGATGGCTCTTTGTATTTAGCTACAGATAAAACATTGCGCTGGGTGTTCTTCATCATGAATTACGATTTTGATAGCACTGGTTTGTTGTCCTTTCTTTCAGAAAAAATGGAAGACTTATTTGGTGGTCACCGACTCTCCATTTGATAATAAGGCCAATGGGGGTTTGGGATAGTAACCACCTGTTTTTGAGTTAGGAGAGAATCTGGTAAATTTGTAGTCCAAGGGTAAATCTGAAAGAAAACACAAAAATATACATAATAGGCTTAGTTCTGCAGACCTTGAAAGAACATCTATTAATGCTAAGAGATCAAAACTTGTGTGTCACTGATATTAAAGCTGCTTTTTCCAGTAAAAGACTTTCTTTTTTTTTTTTTTTTAGGAGATCTGGAAACATTCATGGGAGACCATATTAAATTCTATTATGTTGAAGTCTGAATTTTGATCCTGGGTTATAAAGACAATAATTACCTTGCTAAAAATAGAAGTCCTAAGTCACTCCTATGATCTCACTTTTAATAACCTCAGGACTAAGAAATTAACACATAAAGTAAGAAAATAGTTCTGTGATTTAATTTACAAGAAAAATCTTCTAGGGTCATGTGGAAGTTGAGAATTAGGATGCCATTAATCTGGTAGGGTTACTGCCACTGGGGGAAAAAAATACAAACTCCTCAGTTTGGCATTTAAATTCCTTCACAATTAGACTTTAGACTACCTCTCCAGGCTGATTAGGGATGGGAAGAAGGAAATAAGCATTTATTAAGCACCTACTATGTGCCAGGCACTGTGCTAAGCACTTTACAACTATTATTTCATTTGATCCTCACAAAATCCTGGGAGGTGGGTGCCACTATCATACACTACTCCATCTCATACACTCTAGACTCTAGCCAAACTGTTTGCACAGGACTTCCCCCATGATTAGAATGCTCTTTCTTTTCATCTCTGCCTCTTGGAGCTCCTAATCCCTCAATCAATGCTCAGCTCAAATGCCACCTCCATCTCTTCCTGATTCTCACCTTGATATCACTATGAATTGATTAGATATATCAGATTTATTGTGTACACTAACTATATTGTTTTATACATCAATATATTTTTGTGTACAAAGATATGTACTGACATGTCTCATTCCCTTAGTAGAATGTAAGCTCTTTGAGGACATTGTTTCACTTTTGAATTTGTGTTTCTAGCACCTAGCACTGACTATCTTCTTAATAAAGACTCTTATATCTGCACACTTAAAAATACTTAGAAACAGAATTCTAATTTTTCTAAATGAAGAGGTCACGTAGGTCTTGAATCCATTTGTAAAAATATAAAAACAACAACCTAATTAATTTGCAGGAACTGAATGATATCAGAGGAGATGGAAATTTACTAGCTGAATTTCAACAAAAACTTTTGGATGAGACTAAAAAATGAACACTGTTATTTAGAAGTACAGCCAATGATTACCATCTTCCATTTGGATCTACACTTCTTGGTTTTTTTTTTTTTAAAGCTATGACAAACATTAACATCAAATATTGAAACAAACTCAAGGGGGCAGCTAGGTGGCACAGTGAATAGAGCTCTAGCCTTGGAGTCAGGAGGACCTGAGTTCAAATCCAGCCTCACACACTTAACGCTGTGTGACCCTGGGCAAGTCACTTAACCCTGATCGCCTCACCGTAAAGCAAAAAAACAAAACAAAACAAAACAAACTCAAATCATAACCAGACCCTTGAATCCTCATATCACAAAGGGATAAACCAAGATATTAAAAAAACAATGAAGCATCACATTGCTCACTAAAATATCATTATTGGCAATAATATTTTCTGGTTTATTTTTAGTGAAAGCAAAGGGCAAGTTTTTGTACTACTGATAAAATATTGTTATTCAGACCATTATTGCACCATTAAATTTCCATTTTGTGTAAGCTTTATGATATTACATAATTACTAGTATAGCAACACAGGTATGTAATTTATAAATAAGTTAATATACATAAATTGGTGTAAGTGCTCAATTTTTTTTTAATTGTAAAGGTATGAGATCAAAAAAGTTTGGAGATCAAAGCTTTATAGTCGAGTCGAACTGTCCTTCATGCTATCCTCATACATGTTATTCTATCTCCCATCTTTGTGCCTTTTTTACACAAACTGTTTCCATGCACGGAATGCATTTCTTCCTCATTACTTCTACTTTCAGAATCTCTAGTTTTCTTCAAACCTCGGCTCAAATGTCATTGTCTATTACATGAGGTTTTAACTGATGTCTCTCATTACTAGTTATTCCCTCCCCAAAATTACCTTGTATTAATTATGTGTATATACATACATACATGGATATGCTCACATGTATACTCGATAGATAATCTAAATATGCTCAATACATATTAATGTATATGTTATCTCCCATGATAGAATGTAAGCTCCCTAAGGGCACAGAAATTCTTTTATTTTTGTCTCTGTATCTTCAGTGCCTGGCATGTTGCTCAGCACATAGTAGACATTTAATATTGTTGTTGTTCAGTCATTTTAGTTGTGTCCAACTCTTTGTGATCCCATTTGGGCTTTTCTTTTTCTTTTTTTGGCAAAGATACCAGATTGCTTTGACATTTCCTTCTCCTGCTTATTTTGCAGATGAGGAAACTGAGGCAAACAGCATTAAGTGAATTGCCCACGGTTATATAGCTAGTGAGTATCTGAGCCCAGATTTGAACCCAAGAAGAGTCATCATGATTCTAGGTCCAGCACTCTATCTACTTTGACACCTAGCTGCCCCAGGTATTTAATAAAGCTTGTTAATTGTCTGCTTATCAATTAAATTTCCATAAAAGAAAAATAACAAAATCCAAATCACCTTTGTGATCCTTCAACTTTTTGGCTACTTTGATTTGTATGCATAAATACCACATCTTACTGGCAAATAGCAGGTTCAGTGGATGAAATGGCAGATTGTATATCTTGATAGGAAGGTAAATGAAGCCACAGTATGTGAAAAACATTTCCTGTAATTATCTCTTTTCTGAGATTTAGATGTGCAATAGTCACATGAAAGGATCCCTATTACATAATATTAATCTTTTTTTTTTTATTATTCCACTTCTCTTACCATACTTTCATCTCTTGAATTGGTCAATTTGAACTTGACCTTTGATGCAGGTCTATTTCTCTACATACACTCTCTGGGCACTCCTACTTATTTCCAGGGCTTCAGTGGCAGATCATTTTCAGCTTTTTATCCTTGGCCTTTCTCTTCTTAGTACCAGACATACCTTCAGCTGCCTAAAAGAAAGACTGAGATCTCCTCAGCTGAATCCTACCAGTACTTCAATTCAATTAAACAAGCCATAAGTGTTTATTACATTGAAGGCACCATGCGCTGGGTACTAGTAATAAAAGGACGGCTACCTTCCTGAAGGAATTTACAGTCTACTACTAAGGGGAATAATGAGAGGGTTGGATTTGATGACAATGACCTGATATTTATAATCCTTTAAGGCTTACAAAATTCTTTACCTATCTAATGAGGGAGTACTCAGTCATTGGAGCATAGGTACTGGGCTCAATCCAAAGGGTGACATGGCAAGCCTGTTTCTGGGCATGCATAATGGAGGTATCTTTTTCACACAGGTATCCTCTAGCTGCTTGGTGCCCATGAACCCAGATATTTAACACCTGGGGAAGAAAAAGATGTGGCTAAGGCTTCCAGCAGAATGTACTATTGGTACTAATCCCTCTCTTCTCCCATTCCTTCCTATCTACTCCACCTCAATACTTTGTGGAGTTTACAAAAAAAAAAAGCTTCCTTATTAAAGTTATAGACTTAACCCAATCCTTTAATTTTAATTGTATGTTGCCATAAATGCCTGCATTGACTGTGCATTCTATCCTCACACGTGTTCCTAACACTTTGTTTATTAATGTTGCCCAAACATGGTCAATTACTAATTTATTTTTTCGACTCCTTCTCTCACAGTCTCTGCCATTACCCTAGATCCCACTACACCAGCAACACAACACCCAAAAGACAGGGACCCATAGCTAAAAGAAGGTCCACTGGGTGAAAGGAAGAATGGCAAAAATTGTTGCCAATTAAGTTATATTGCTTTGAATCTGGAACAAAGGAACAGAGGGAGACCTTTGTAGGCACAGCAGGAAGTCAGCTGTCAACATTCTGTTGTCAGCCAAGATTCAATCTGCATTTTGAAGGGCTAAAACAATTTTTGGGAAAATGTGTGTGTGTGTATATGTGGCTATATTCTAGCACTATGATATCCTATAGCCACAAGAAGTTACCTTAGAAGAAAGAGATATGTACTCCAGTTTGTCTCTAGTACAAAAGAGACCCTGACAGGCAGAATTCTAATTTGTCCATGGGCTGGATTAAATTACTCCTTGTGAAAATTCTGCATGACAGCTCCTCCTAAACCCAAGGCATCCAGGAAGAAATCACCATAAGGTAGAAGAAAGCAGCATCTTTATTAAATAAATGGCATTTGAGGAGACATACCTTACATACATGTAAACCTCATCTTCAGACTAATTGGCAATGGATAACTTGGGCAGCACAGTGCCGTGGAAAGAACATTGGATTTGGAGCCAAAGGCCCTGGGTTTGAGTCCTGGCTCTGCTACTTGCTACCCATACGACTTTTGGCAAGTTGCCTTACCTTCCCATGTTTCATTTTCCTCCTCTATTAAACAAGGGGCTAGATGGATGACCTCTTCAGTCCCTTTCCTCACTCAAAATCCAATTAATCTGCAAATTACATAATCTAGGCAATGGAACTATTTCCTTAAGATACCAGTGGAAAGTGCTATGGTTTGGAGTACTGACTTCAAAGGACCTCAGTTTAAATCTTGACTCTAACACCATTTTGACCTTGGGTGATTCATTTAACTTCTCTGAGCCTCAGTTTCCTCATCTGTAAATGATGGAGTTGGACTAAGTAGGCTGTCAGACACCGCACTCAAGTCTTATGGAACCAGATTAAAATGTAATTGGGAAATATTTAACAAAAGAAATAAAAATACAATAGAACAAAGGTAATATTAATATGTCATTTTCAATCCCCTGAGGGATCTTTATGTACACTTTAGCGACCTTTGTTTTTATTTGACTTTGACACCACAGGACTAGATGACCTTCAAGGTCACTTCCATTTTCAAATCTATGATCCTATGAAACTCGGGGCACAGGACCTCCTAAAGACAAATTAAGATAGAGACTTTAAAAAG